ATACCCCTTGAAGTGTGTTTGTATTTCAGTCATTTTATAACAAGATAGGTAGAGATAATGTTCCATTGTTCTTGAGTCGTTCATTATCCGCATTTTTCTTAAATATTCCATTGTTGTTTGAGTTAATTGTTATCCCATAATTTTCTTAAATATTCCATTGTTGTTTGAGTCAATTGTTATCCCATACTTTTCTTTAATATTCCATTGTTGTTTGAGTCAGTTGTTATCCCATACTTTTCTTTAATATTCCATTGTTGTTTGAGTCAATTGTTATCCCATACTTTTCTTTAATATTCCATTGTTGTTTGAGTCAATTGTTATCCCATACTTTTCTTTAATATTCTATTGTTATTTCATACTTTGCTCTAATATTCCACTGTTATTTCAATCGATTATTATCCCGTATTTTTCTAGAATGTTTCATTGTTGTTTCAATCGATTATTATCCCGTATTTTTCTAGAATGTTTCATTGTTGTTTCAATCGATTATTATCCCGTATTTTTCTAGAATGTTTCATTGTTGTTTCAATCGATTATTATCCCGTATTTTTCGACAATGTTCCATTGTTGTTTCAATTGATTATTATTCCGTATTTTTCGAGAATGTTCCATTGTTGTTTCAATTGATTATTATTCCGTATTTTTCGAGAATGTTCCATTGATGTTCCAATTGATTATTATCCCGTACTTTCACTTTGCTTCAACTTTCCAGTTTATAAATCCTATGCTATATTCCGCAAGATATTATACATTAAAATTAAAGATATTCTCGGCTATCCGTTTTCCTTCTTCAGAACGTAAAGTATAACAGAGGTATAAGTTTTGTCATACTGTTGTCGACTCCGTTATGGGTTAACATAGTAGTATAAGTAAACACATAAAGCAACAGGATTTTTCTGATGAGTTTCTTAAGAAAACTGATAACGCGGATGAAATAGCATTCTAAGATATTTTATTATTAAGTGAAGCGTATTCGAACATGCCTAGATGGCGTTGTTGTCCATTCTAATTGGTTTAAGATCTTAGGACTAATGATGAGCAGAACTTCCTAATAAAAGTGAGCTTACGCCTTGAGAAGCTGAGGCCTCAGATCATTTTTATAACAGTAAAACATTTTATTAGCAGTTCCTTTGATACTGATCTGAGGCCTCAACAAACGACAATTGAATGCAAATGTTTTACATAAGCAATACATGGAAAGAACTTAGGGTTACTTATCACGTGCTGACGTAAACCGAATCAGTTTATAAAATGATGAAATTAAACGTAGAAGAATCATTAGGATCACAGGTTTCATTAATTTAACTACAAGAACTAAAGAGAAAAGTTTAAATCTATTTTCTATCCGTTCTGATTCTTGGTTGGTGCAGAAAATGTGAAGGAACTTTCTGATCAGCGCCCGGTGTTTGTAAGGATTTAGAACCAATCCGAACCTTCTAAACTAGCTGAACGTTTAGAGATATTCCCGCCAAAAATACCGAAGACTAAGATTTGTTTGGTTTGTTTTGAATTTCGCGCAAAGCTGCACGAGGGCTATCTGCGCTAGCCGTCCATAATTTAGCAGTGGAAGACTAGAGGGAAGACAGCTAGCCATCACCGCCCACCGCCAACTCTTGTGCTACTCTTTTACCAACGAACTAGTGGGATTGGTCGTTACATTATAACGCCCCCACGGCTGAAAGGGCGAGGATGTTTGGTGGGACGGAGATTCGAACCCGCGACCCTCAGATTGCGAGTCTAACGTCCTTACTACCTGGCCATGCCGGGTCCAATAACTAAGAAAGTACTTCAGTACAGTCTCATCTTCAAAACATTGGAGTTCACTAACTGGTTTATAATATTATGACCATTATTATCTTCAAAACGTAATAATCACACCCTTTTTACTCATTATGTTAGATATCTAGTCCGAGTTTAATTATTTACGTTAATAGGCATATTGTTTTCACGTTTAATTAACTAATTTTCATTCAATAGTTGTCTACAATCACTATATACAGGAAACAACTACAGAAGATATTTATAAACACACGTAAGCTACGGCAGAAGCTATCTGCCAACGTTACTAAACAGCATAAGAAGACTAGTAAAGCCAAATAACGTACCATTGATAGGTCTTTTCAATTAAACTGGCAAAATTTCAAGATTTTATTTTGATAACGTATACAAATATTGGATTTGTGAAGAGAAGATTACAAAACTTTAAAATTTATTACTTTTGGGCT